ATGGGGAAATGAATAAATAATATAAAATGATTTATTGCCTCAAGGAATAATTACCAATTTTAAGCCCTCAGTTTCTTCTTAATCTGAAAAATGATCTGTTTTCCATTACATACAATAGATTCAGGGAACTGTTTTTTAGCCCGTTAAAATACAATTGTTACTACTAGCATCAACTTTGTAGTTATTTGTTTTGGGAAAATTAACGTGTGTGTGTGCGCGCGCACGCGCACGCGCGTGCTCTTTCCTAATCAACAGCACTCTAGCAGTTTGCCTTCCAAAATACACTTAATGCATGTAATTAATTGTTTTAATAACCTAGGTACCATGGACAGGATACCAGGGTAGGTTTGCAGTTGATCCTCGAATTATTACCCATCAGGCAGCAATGGCCTATAACATGAACCTGTTACAGACACATGGACGAGGATCTCCTATTCCTTATGGCCTTGGACATCACCCACCTGTCAGCATAGGCCAGCCACAAAATCAGCAGCAGGAGAAGGATCAGCATGAGCAAAATCGAAATGGTGAGTTGTACTTTGCTGTTCTCCTGTTCCTAAACTGATGACATGTAAAGTTTTGGCCACATGGCAACTTCTTTAACAGTATAATTGTTAATTTTTTCATGAACTATAGACCTTTTCGAGAGAGAATAAACTGAATCCTCTCTCCAGAAGATAGATTATGTATACAGATACAAAATTGAGATGTAACTTCAGAGGGTCCTTTAGGTTAAACTCTACCACTTATGATTGGTGTCACTGAGTTCCTGAAAAAAATACTAAATTTGAATTATTTAGAGTACTCTAAAATGGTGGTCATTTAAAATTGAGATGGAAGGTCCTCTCCTGTTAAACATTTTTGTTAATTTGAAATACTTTTGTGGTATTTTGTGGTACTAAGCATTAATGTTATTGTGAGATTATTGATATAATTTTTTTTTTTTTTTTTTTTTTTCTATTTTGCTTGTTTTGTTTTATTTTTCAGAACATGGTCATGTGCTCCAAAACAACCTTTTGGTCAACAAAAGGACCACATATAAGACAGTGGTCCCATAAGATTATAATACTGTGTTTTATTGTTTTTTTAAAAATACGTATTTTATTGCGTTTTAGGTTTTGAGGTACATGTGAAGAACATGCAAGATTGTTGCATAGGTACATACATGGCAATATGGTTTGCTGCCTTCCTCCCCATCACCTATATCTGGCATTTCTCCCCATGTTATCCCTCCCCAACTCCCCACCCCCTGCTCTCCCTCCTCTAGATCCCCCCCCCACAGACCCCAGTGTGTGTATAATACTGTGTTTTTACCGTACCTTTTCCATGTTTAGATACACAAACACTTACCTTTGTGCTATAATTGCCTACAGTATTCAGTACAGTAACATGCTGTGCAGGTGAGCAGCCTAGAAGCCATAGGCTATACCATACAGCCTAGGTGTGTAGCAGGCTATGCCATCCAGGTTCATGTAAATACACTCTATGATGTTTGTACAACAACAAAATGGCCAAGTACACATTTCTCAGACGTCTCCCTGTCATTAAGCAGCAAAAGACTGTTCCAACTATGAACACAATATATCTCCTTTGTCTTTTATGCTTATACTTTTCTGTATAATAATTTCAAATCTTAGATGTTCTCCAATTTTTAATGTGTGTATCATTTCCTTTAGTCTGTCTAGGTGATCTCTGAAAAATTCAGTTATTTTCATTCTTTTTTTATTTCTTCATTTTGTTCTTCTCTTTCACTCTTTTCTGACATTTGTCAACAGGTTTCTTTTCTTTTTCTTCTGTTGTTTTTTAGCATTTTATATGAACATGTCTATTCTTTCATCTTATTTGTTTTTCAGAAGGGTCATGTTATTTGTAATTCTTTGAGAGTTAGGAAATTATTATTCTTCCTCATCACTTTTTTTCTAATAAGCTTTATCTTTTAGAGCAGTTTACATAAAAATTGAGTGGAAAGTACAGAGAGTCGCCATATATCTTCCCTGACACACACACACACACACACACACACACACACACACACACACATTCAGTATTAACACTACTATAAAGATACTGGGTACTTTATAAAGGATAGAGTTTTAATTGACTCACAGTTCCACATGGCTGGAGAGGCCTCAAGAAACTTACAATCATGGCGGAAAGCAAAGGGGAAGCAAGCATCCTCTTCACAATGCAGCAGGAGAGAGAAGAGAGCAGGGAAAACCACTTATACAACCAACAGATCTCACAAGAACTCACTTGCTATCATGAGAACATCGTGAGGGAAACCTCCCACCAGGTCCCTCCCTTGACATGTGGGGATTACGGGGATTACAATTTGAGATGAGATTTGGGTGGGGACACAGAGAGAGCCAAACCATCTCTCTCTCGCTCTCTCTCTCTCACACACACACACATGCACACACACTCTCTTTCCCGTTATTAACTGCTTGTATTAGTGTGGTACATTTGTTATAACTGATGAGCCAATATTGATAGATTATTATTAACGAAAAGTCCACAGTTTACATTAGGGTTCACTTTTGGTATTGTACATTCTAGGGGTTTGAACAAATGTATAGTGACATGTACCCACCATACAAAATAGTTTCAGTGCCCTAAAAATTTTCTGTGCCCTGACTATTCATCCCTCCCTCTCCACTAACCCCTGGCAACCGCTGTCTCCATATTTTTGTCTGTTCCAGAATGACATTGCTATGATCCGACTGTGTTCCCCAAATTCGTGTATTGAAACTTAATGGCCAATGTGATGGTATTAAGAGGTGTGGCCTTTAAGAGGTGCTCAAGCTGTGAGGGCTTTACTCTCATGAATGGTACTCGGTGCTTTTATGAAAGGGCTCAACGGGGACCTCGTCCTTTTTCACTCCTTCTGTCCCTCCCATGGGGGATGCAGTGTTCCTCCCATCAGAGGATGCAACAACAATGCAATGTCATGGAGGTGGACAGCACCCCTCACCAGACACCGAACCCGTCAGCACTTCGATTTTAGACTACCAGTCTCCAGAACTATAAGAAATACATTTCCATTCCTTATAAATTACTCAGTTTCAGGCAGTTTGTTATAGCAGCACAAGTGAACAAAGACAGTCATACAATTTGAATCAGATAACATATAGCCTTTTCAGATTGGTTTCTTTCATCCAGCAGTGTGCATTTATGGTTCCTCTATGTCTTTTATTCAGGGCTTGATTGTGCATTTATTTTTATTGTTTGCTACCTGGGGCTACAGGCACACGACCACAATTTTGTTATTTTTTGTAGAGATAGGGTTTCAGTATGTTGCCCAGGCTGGTCTCTAACTCTTGGGCTCAAGCAGTTCGTCTGCCTCTGCCTCCAAAAGTGCTAGGATTATAGGTGTGAGCCACTGCAACTGGCCTTCATAACTTATTTTTATTTTTATTTTTATTTTTATTTATTTATTTATTTATTTTTGAGATGGAGTTTCGCTCTTGTTACCCAGGCTGGAGTGCAATGGCGCGTTCTCGGCTCACCGCAACCTCCGCCTCCTGGGTTCAGGCAATTCTCCTGCCTCAGTCTCCTGAGTACCTGGGATTACAGGCACGCACCACCATGCCCAGCTGATTTTTTGTAGTTTTAGTAGAGACGGGGTTTCCCCATGTTGACCAGGATGGTCTCGATCTCTTGACCTCGTGATCCACCCGCCTCGGCCTCCCAAAGTGCTGGGATTACAGGCGTGCATAACTTATTTTTAAATGAAGTATTATAGAGAGAGTTGAATCCCTTTCTATATTTCAAATAATAAAATCATTGGACCTATTTCTACCATTTTATTTACCACGCTTTATCTTTGCTTCTTTTCCCCTAATTTCCCATGTTGTGTAGAACTGTGTTTTCCAAATTTCCACCTCTTGTTTTTTTCTTGATTTGGAAGTTATAGATGGTATCTATATTCTTCTGGTGGTTGTGGTAGATTGTTACATTAACGGACCTCATTAATCCACACCACTTGTCATTTATACCCTGACATGTTCATCTCTCATATTAATTTTGTTCAACACAGGTTTGACCATGTGCCTTGATTTGTCCAATGACACATCAACAAACGTGACTCAAGTGGAGTTGTAAGAAGCACTTGTGCATTGGGGCCTGATGCTGGAACATTGTTTTTTTTGTGTGTGTTTTTGAGATGGAGTCTCCCTCTTGCCACCCAGGCTGGAGTGTAGTGGTGCCATCTCGGCTCACTGCAATCTCCACCTCCCAGGCTCAAGCAATTCCTCTGCCTCAGCCTCCTGAGTAGTGGGGATGACAGGCACCTGCCCCCATGTCCAGCTAATTTTTACACTTTTAGTAGAGACAGGGTTTCGCCATGTTGGCCAGGCTGGTCTCGAACTCCTGACGTCAGGTGATCTGCCCACCTTGGCCTCCCAAAGTGTTGGGATTACAGGCATGAGCCACTGCGCCTGGCCTCTGTGTTGTTGTTTTGTTTTGTTTTTTAAGTAAATACACCTAAATGTTCACTATGTCTCATCTTCATTTCATTTGCACATTCCATACTTGCTTCCAAGCTCAGTGGTTCTCAAGCAGGGGCAATTTTGTCTTCACTCCCTTCTCAGAGGACATTTGACAACACCTGGAGACACTTGTGGTTGTCACAATTGGGAAAAGTGCTACTGACATCTAGAGGGTAAAGGTCAGAGATGCCTTTAAACATCCTACATTGCACAGGACAGCCCTCCTCCCTGACCCCACCAAGAATTATCTGGCCCCAAAGGTCAAAACTGCCTAGGTTGAGAGGCTCTGTCCTAGATGATGCTGCTGAGTCCAATGGCCTAAAATACTTTCCATATTATGATAACTCCAAAACTACACGCCTGGCCCAGGCCTCTTTTCTGAGGTCTAGACTCATAACATCCAATGAATATTAACAGTTCCACCTGGACATCTCACAGAAACATCAAATTTTACTTAGTCATGATAGGAATCTTGATTTCACCCTAATTTTGCTCCCCTCATCCTTATCTCTCATAAGTTTTCAAGCTAGAAACCTGGGATGAATAATCGATTTCCTTCTTCCCTCCACCTTCCATATCCAATCTACCAGCATGTCTTACAGTCAGTAAGAACTTTAAAAACAACTCACCATATCCCCTTTGCTACTTGTAAGTTTCCAGTATCTTCCAAAAATACTTCAAGTCCTCACAATGTGTCACAGCTTACAAACGTCTGCATGCTCCAGCTCTTACCATCCTTCCCAACTCATCCCATCAACACTCTAGCTGATCACTACAATCCAGCTATACTGGCCTTATTTCAATCCCTTAAATATCCCAAGTGTTCTTCCTCCTCACCGGACCTTTGCACTGCTAATTCCTCTTCTTGTAACTGCTCTTTCCCTCAATCTTGAATGACTGCCTCCTTCTTAATCTTTAGTCTCAGTTTAAATAGCACTCTTCAGAGTCCTTTTCTGATCATTTATTAAAGGTAGGTCTTCTCCAGCTCAACTCCATTTTTTTTCTTCCTGGTACTCTTGGTAATATTTAATAATGTTTTTATTTGTTTGTTCACTCATTGGATCATCTTTCTCCTCTGTTAGGAAAATACCTGTTTACAGGCTTTCCATGTACATTTGTTGAATAAATAGACCAGCTTGGGAGAATTAAAGTAAAATGTATGTGTAAGGTGCCTAATAATATGCCTGATACAAGTTCAGCAATAATTTAATTTCACTTTGTAGAATGTGGCTACAAGTATTGATCGACTTACGACCTACACAACTTACGACCATTCGACTTTACGACCACAATCGCTAGCCACGACTGCTCCGCATCTGGCAGCGCAAACGTTGCCCAGCTGGGCGTACGACAGTGCGGGACAATAAACATATATGCTATATCATATCATTATTAGTCATTTTCTTGTCTTTCTTACTAAAATGT